GCTGAAGGAAGTACATCACTGGGGGCGGGCTCTAGAGGTCATAGACTGATCATACTTCCTGTTTGATCTCCGCTTCATATTTATAGTGAAGATGTGATCGCTCAGCTTCCTGTTCCTGCCTCTGTGCCTACCTGCTGCTTGTGACGTTGCTCCCCACATGATGGATCTACCCCTCTGGAACTGTGAACCAAAATAATCTCTTTCTTCCATAAGTTGTTTCTGGTCACGGTTTTTTATCAGCAGAAAAGTAACTAAGACACTCCAATAAAAAGTTTAGAAAGTGCAGCTGTGCAACGGGAAGAAAATAAAGTGGAGTTGGGTGCCGGGGCTGGGGTTGGGTGCTGGAGCTAGGTGCTGAGACTGGTTGCTGGGGCTGGGTGCTGTCTGTGGGTGCTGAGGGTGAGTGCTGGATGCTGGAGCTAGGTGTTGAGGCTGGGTGTTGGGGGTGGGTGTTGAGGGTGAGTGCTGGGACTGGGCACTGAGAGTGGGTACTGGGGGTAGGTGCTGGGGCTGGGTGCTATCTGTGCTGCTTCTCATTTCAGAGGTCAACAAATCTTTACCAGGACACAGATGTTTCCCACCATTATTCTTGCAAAGTCTATGCTTCTTTTGTGTATTGATTACTTTAACCATTGCTCAGACAAGATACCCAGCAAACGGGAGGAAGGGCTCACGGTTGCTTCTCATGTGAGGGTGTCGTTCTTCACGGTGGAGAAGGCGTGGTGGGAATGTGGGTGACCAGTCACAGTGTGTCAGGAAGCAAGGACCAGGAAAGCTGAGGTCCAGCTCACTTTCTGTTTCTTATTTAGTCTGGGACCCCACCCACAAAAGGGTGCTGCCCACACTTAGGTGGCTCTTCCCAACTCAGTTCCTCTAACCCAGCAGCTAATCTAACCCAGAAGCTAATCTAACCCAGCAGCTAATCTAACCCAGAAGCTAATCTAACCCAGCAGCTAATCTAACCCAGCAGCTAATCTAACCCAGCAGCTAATCTAACCCAGCAGCTCCCACACAGGCATGAGCAGTGGCTTGTCTCCATGGTGTCTCAGTTACTGTTTTGTTGCTGTGAAGAGACACCATGACCACAGCAGCTTTTATACAAGAATCATTTCATTGGGGCTGACTTACAGTTTCAGAGGGTTAGTTAGCTCACTATCATCGTGATCGGGAGCATAGCTAAAGCTACATCCTGATCCACAAACAGAGCCTTGGGCTTGGCATGGAAAACTCAAAGCACACACACCTTCCCCGCCCCCCCCCCCCCACGTACTTCCTTCAATAGACCACACCTCCTAATCCTTCTAATTCTATCAGAGTTTCACTCTATGGTAATTAAGCATTCAAATATCTGTGCCTATGGGGCAATCCCCTTCAACCATCACAGTGGGTCTAAATCCAACAAGATTGACAATCTAGAGTAACCATTGCACTTTGGATGTGTGTCTGCCTGTCTGTCTACCTGTCCTGTCTCTCTCTCTCTGTCTGTCTCTCTCTCTGTCTCTCTGTCTCTGTCTCTCTCTCTGTCTCTCTGTCTCTCTCTCTCTGTATGTATGTGTGTGTGTCTGCCTATCTGTCTGTCCACTGTCTCTCTGACTCTCTCTGACTCTCTCTCTCTCTCTCTCTCTCTCTCTCTCTCTCTCTCTCTCTCTCTGTGTGTGTGTGTGTGTGTGTGTGTCTTGTGTGTCTGTCCACTGTCTCTGTCTCTGTCTCTGTCTCTGTCTCTGTCTCTCTCTCTCTCTGTGTGTGTGTGTGTGTGTGCCTGTCTGTCCACTGTCTCTGTCTCTCTGACTCTCTCTGACTCTCTCTGACTCTCTCTCTCTCTCTCTCTCTCTCACACACACACACACACACACACACACACAGGCACACACTAGTGTTCCCAGTTCATTTTTAAATTATGCTGTTCATTGGCTTGTTTGCCTGTGGGAGCCATAGTTCAGTAGGAGTTGCTTCTTTGTGAGTTGCTTTCACAACGTGAGCCCCAGGGATCCAATGAAGGTTGTTTGTCTGGGCAGCAAGTGCCTTCACCTGCAAAGCCATTTTGCCAGTGCCCAAATTCCTTAACATTCCATTTCCTGTTCTAGTTTGCCTTCTGTTGTTGTGATGAAAACCATAACCAAAAGCAACTGGGGGAGGAAGGCCTTTACTTCAGCTTACATTTCAGGTCACAGCCCATCCTTGAAGTCTTGATTTGAGTTCTGGGTGCTGGCTTCCTCACTGGCTCATGCTCAGCCAGCTTTCTCATACAGCCCAGGCCCACTTGCCTAGGGATTGGTGCTGCCCACAGTGGGCTGGGCTCTCCCATACCATTCATCATCCAAACCAATTTCTCATAGACATGGCTGCAGGCCAATCTGATCTGGGCAATCCTTCAAATGAGACTCCCTCAGATGATTCTAGGCTATGCCGAGCAGACATCAATGGGATACTCTCTTCATTCCTGCACAGACTTGGACGAGCTAGAGGACATTAGATTCCTTCCTCTCCTGCACCAAGGAAACCCCAAGGAAAGACTTCCTGTTCCACATGTCGGATGTAGCTGCAGCTTGTCCTCTTGGCCAGTCATCTTGGTTCACCACTGTCTCCTCTCACCATGGGTCTTCCTGGCACATTGGAACCCAGGCTTGAGAATGTAATCTTCCTACTCTAGCTTGTCCTTAAAGTCATTAAAGCCCCTCTCTCCACAGGGTCCATTCCCAAGGGACTTTACTACAAAGGCGTTGGTTCTCAAGTAGCAAGAGACTGTGGGTTCAGCTTCCCCACAGAAAAGTGTTATCAAAGGGGCCAGGGTTCCTGTGCTACTTAGTTGGGTTTTTTTTGAGTTTTGTTTTGGTTGGTGGGTTTGGGTTTTTTTTAATTTGTTTTTAGTTTTGTTTTGGTTTGTTTGTTTGTTTGTTTTTGGTTCGATTTGAGTTTAGTTTGGTTTTGGTTTAGTTTGTTGTTTGCTTTTGGTTTTTTGGTTTTGGTTTTGGTTTGGTTTGTTAGTGTTGTTTGCTTTTGTTTTTGTTTTTGCTTGTTTTTGGCTTGCTTTGGTTTGTTTTACTTTGTTTTTGTTTGGTTTGGTTGTTTGGTTTTGGTTTTTAGTTTGGTGTCAATGTGACATAAAGTAGGGTCACTTGAGAGGAGGGAACCTCAAACATGGTAATAATCCCGTCAGAGATTTCTCCATCAGGGGTGCCAGTCAGCAGCACTCCTCCATGGTTTCTGTGTCAGCTCCTGCCTCCAGCTTTCTGCCCTGTGTGAGTTCCTGTCTTGGCTTCCCTCAGTGCTGGACTGTAACCTGTAAGCTATGAAACCCTTTCCTTCCCAAGGTGTTTTTAGCTACAGTGCTTATCACAGCATAAGAACAAATTAGGACAGTACCAGGACTGGCTACATGACAGGGCTGGAAAAAAAAACAAGATTGGAAGGGCTCCAGAAGAGACACAGCCACTGCTCAGTGCCACCCAGATGGGGTCACACTGAATGAGAAACACCTGGCTTCTTCAGTTCCCCAGCCTCCAGTGCCTCCCTCCGGCTCAGCCTATCAGGAGACAGCTGGCAAAGCTGAGAAATGTGGTTTCTACAGATGATGGAGAGCGAAGATCTCAGGCTCTCAGGTTAGATAAACTTTAGCAGAGCGTCAGTGCTCACAGTTATAACACAGAAAAGAAAGCCAAGCACGAGTTCCCACGTATCAGAACCCATTCTGCCTAACACGCCCAGTTCAGTGTGACTTACTACAGTCTCACGTGAAGCAGATATGTTGATCCCCTTGGCCTGGTTCTGTAGTTGATAATGGGGCCAGGCAAATGTGCTACGAGGCATGGTCCTTTATCATGTGCACCCTAAACCTAGCCCAAATAGCTTCTTACATCATCTCTGGGGCCCAGCAAGGAGAAAAACATGTCTTAAACATTCACACCTTTGTTACCATGAAGTTTGCCCCCCCCCATGTCCACGGACACTGATGTCAAGGTCGGCTCTTCGAGGTGGAAGAGAGCTGGGGGAAGCAGTTTCCACCTTCATTCCCCCAATCTAAAGTCCTGTGGTACTGCCAGAGTCTGGCCTCCCCTCTAACTCAGCAGGAAGAATCCCCCCTTGTTAACTCTCTCTGTGCATGCATGTGTGCGTTTGTGAGTGGAGGCAAACATGAGCTTGGAGGACGCCGTCAGCATCAGTACTAGCTTCTGTTGTCTCCGAGACAGCATCTCTTGTTGCTCACTGCTGCAAAACACAGGCTAGGAGAACCATGATTTCCAGAGATCCCCCTGCCTCTGCCTTCGATCCATCCACAGGAGTGCCAAGATTAGCCACTGGGGCTGCACGTCCATCTGTCCATCCTCCTTCACTTAAGTTCAGGAGGTCCAAGCACAGGTCTTCACACTTGCTTGAAAACACTCTACCCACTGGGTCATCTGGACTCCAATTTCTCCCCTCTTTTTTGTAGATTCTTTGTCCAAGATTCAGGCTGAAGATTGCCTGGGCTTCCCACCTCAGCAGCCTTGCCAAGAGGAGGCTGTTCCAACTGCACTGCTCAGCCTCAGGGGACAGGGCAGGCACCGGAAAGGGAGCATCACGCTCCCTGCATTTCCTCCAGCGAGAATCAAGCCAAGAAGTCATTGCTGAAGGTATACTCTTAATCATGTCCTGTTCTTTTCCTTGGGATAAATCCTCTTGTAATGGAATTATTAGGACAGACGATACGCACCAGGGGCAGGCTTTGATACGAGCCAATTGCGGTCTGATAAGATTGCACTTCGGTCTTGCCTTTCCTAACTCCTGCCGCACCACCAGGGGCCTTGGGATGAATCAGTCACCAGACCAGATAAACAAGCCCTTCCGCTGCTGCCGGTGCCTTGCCTGCACCCAAGAAGGGAGCCTCCCTTGGATCTTGCCCAGGTACTGGAATTCCTCTGCACCAGGCTAGACACCTTTGTACCTCTGCCCCCACGAGGCCAGGTCTTACTCTGCTCTCCTCTCCCCGCCCTGCGCTGGGCGGAGCCAGCTGCCAAAGCGGCAAGACTTGACACACACCCCAGCCTCTGTGCAGGGGTCAAGAGCTGAGGCCCAAAAGGGCCCTGGAGGGGCCCAATGAAGACACTACTGACCATCCTGACTGTGGGATCCTTGGCCGGTAAGTACCTCTTGGCCTGTCCTCAGATCCTCCTACCCCAGCAGCTAGGGAGCACATGAGTCTCTTGGCAGGCAGTTTCATTTTCTTCCTGGCTGGCACTGGACTGGGTGGCGGGTTTTCCTGGAGATGGAGATGACCTAGTCCAGGTAGCTGGAGAGGATAGTGTGCCCCAGACCTGGCTTCCTAAAGGGATTCAGTTGACCTTCAAGTACGCCGACATCGATTGACCAGCTGTCTGCACTGGGGGTGCTGAGTTCTCACACTCCCCCCATAGATAGAGTGCCGCTTCATGTCCCACTTATCACTAAGGAGGGGATAACAGGCTGGGGTCAAACTACTATCTCCATCCATGTCTTCTCAGTACCCTCAGGCTGGATCAGTAAAAACTCACATCTCCATCAGCGACCAGAAGGCTGCAATAAGTCACCAGAGTGTCCGTGCAAATTTGACTAAGGACTATAGCTGTGAGGTCTCATCGAGGGAACTTTGGAGTTCATACCTGTGAGACCTTCACATCGGGGGCTGGAGAGAGAATCCTTCACATAAGACATGGGCTTGATCTATTCTCCTGGATGGAATCCAGGGGTTCTCTCTCAGGAGGCAGAGCTGAGGTGTGGTGGAAGGAAGTGGTCCAGCCATCTCATGGACCTTCTTGCTTAGTGCATAATACGATCCCTAAAGACACAGACCTGCAGCCGGGAGGTAGTGTCACATGTCTTTAATCACAGCACTCCAGAGGCAGAGGCAGGTAGAGCTCTGTGAGTTGGAGGCCAGCCTGATCTACAGAGGGAGTTTCAGGACAGCCAGGGCTACACAGAGAAACTCTACTTGAAAAACAAGATAGATAGATAGATAGATAGATAGATAGATAGATAGATAGATAGATAGATAGATAGAATATATCACTGCTCTGGCTCCTATTCCCCAAACAGTATACATGGGTCCTTACCGCCGGCAAAGCTTCTCTCGCAGCCAGCCTGTGACAGACTGTGAAGATTAGATGCAACCTCCAAATTCTCCAGAGCATGCTCTGTTACACCCCAGCGTGGAGCCGTGGGTCTCCTGACCATTACGACGGAGAGGAAGAGAGGCAGTAAGCTTCCCTGGGTGGCAGATCCCTAACATTAGCCACAGACACAGGCTTCAGCCCCAGCCCAGCTCTGGCTGGCTCCGGGTCACTGTAGACAATGCATTTTTCCTTAGCTCGCAGGGCAACTGATACATTGTTTTTCCACACAGATATGAAACCTGTCTTTTATAAAGCGGCCAGACAGCCAGAGTCCCCACTACAGGTCTCCTTCTTTTCCAGGTTTCACAATGTAGACTTTCAACCAGGAAGTGCAGGAATGACACAGGCAGGGAAAGCAGACGGATTTTAAAAGGGAAAAAGAGGAGGGAGAAGAAGCCTCATTAGCTCCCTAAGCTAGGAGAGGCTCCACCAAGATCAGTTAGCCTACTCCAGAAAGCCCTGCTGCCCCCCAATTCTTTACTGGGCTATGCAAGCCTTAGCCCCCAGCCTCTCCTGGTCCAGACATCCTGCTCAGGACTGTCCCCAGTACCAGCCTGCTCTGCAGCAGAGTCTAGCCATAGTAGGGGAGGTTAACCTCACTTCAGACAGAACCCAGCTTTCTCTCTCTCCTGCTTGGGGCCCACCCTTATGACCAACCAAAAGTCACTGTCCAAAGCTATTGTCCTTCTGCTGGTCTCTCTAACCCTAGCCTATGAGCCCCAGCAGAGTACTCTAGAACTGGCCTCGGATCTGCCCAGCCTGGGATCCAAGGGGAATGTTATTCACATCTGGGGCTCCTCAGCATAGCTTGTCGCATTGGGTAACGGCGGTGGGAACACTGGAATGCTGTCCCCAAGGTCCTGCAGTGTGGGCTCCAGGGAGGCCTGGGAAACAAAGATGGCCACAGCTGCTGCCCCAGACTGACCCAGATTCAGGAAGGTGTGACCAGGGGACCTGCAGCAGCAGGGACGGGCCATTCCTGTCTTCTGCCCACCTCATCCCTGCAGCCCACAGATCCCTTTTGAGAGAACCGTGCAGACTTGGACTGTAGGAATAGCCATCCTCCTCTCAGCCCCTCCGGCAGCTGGTGACTGTCCTCAGGTGTGGGGGAGGAGGGCATACACACATCAAACGCATATGTTCTCAAGGCCTTCACAGAGCTCCACACCTGTCTCTTTCCCACCCTCGCCAACCAGGCTGTTCTGAGTACGGTCAGAGCCAGGGCAACCCTGCTGCTAGTATCTACCTGTTCTTTCTCACCACAGGCCAGGTCTGAACTGAAGGAAGGGCACTGTGAGCCAAGGGGTCTTCACAGACAGGGACATTGGTTCAGAGGCAGCAAGCCCCTCCCTGGTCACCCTGGGGACAGGCCTGGCCAGCACTCTACTTGTCTAAAGCTGAGGTAGTCTGAGCAAAATAGCCTGGGCTAGACACAATAGCCAATGGACAGGTTCTAGTTTTGCTTTGGGCTTGGGGGCTTTGGATGCTAGGACTGAGCCAAGGGTATCCTGTGTATTAAGCTGTACTCTGAGCTACACCCCAATTCTGTTGTGAATTCCTTAGACTGCCTTCTGTCTTCCTTTCTTTTCCCACCTTCCTTGAACTGGTCCCCAACCAGGGCTTAGACACTAGTCCCCTACTGGGGCTCAGACCACTAATACCCACTCTTGAGGGGTGGAAGGGGACACTATTCCCACATACTTCCCTACACTCAGGACAGAGTCTTGTGAAGTGTTGGACACCTTAACAGGCTTTGCCTCACTGATCAGTTATGCAGGCTATGTAGCCCTGGGACCTCGTCAAATGCTAGCTGTGACACTATTCAGCAGCCCTGTATGAGCTTTGGTTTTTCCCATTCATGAAATGGGAACGGTGGCCGTCAACATCTAAAGAGGGTGAGAGCATTTGTGACTGAAGAGGTTTGGGCTGGTGGCTGGCAGCTGACAGGTCCTTCCCAAGTGTCAGTGACTACTGTTGTCATGATTGCCTGTTGCTAAGTAAGTCGAGCTGTCCCCATTCTAGACTTGAAGAGCTGAGATCAGATTGCTTAAATAATTACCCCATGCTGACCCAGCCCATATGTCAGCATCCTGCTCCCTACAAGGTCTGAGTGTAGAAGGTGTCTTTGCCATCTAAGGAGGCTAGTGGACAGGCAGTGATGTGGAAGGAATTCACCAGAATTCCTAATCCCTTCTACGCCCCGTGTGAAGTGATTGACTTCGGACACGTGTAGTCTTGGAGCTTTTACTTGGAGAACTCTAAAATAGGACTAAGAATGTCAACCTCAATGCTAAAAAGTGAATGTGAAGGACTGGAGAGATGGCTCGGTGGTTAAGAGCACTGGCTGCTCTCTTCTAGAGGACCCCGGTTCAATTCCCAGCATCCACGTGGCAGCTTACGCCTGTCTGTAACTCCAGCTAACACTCTCCCACTGACATACATGCAGGAAGACACCAATGAATGTGGCATAAAAATAAATTGTATATTTTTAAAAAGTGAATTGAGACCGTGGCATTGGATAGGATGTAAAGGAATCTGACAGCCCAGTTACTACTGGTGAGGGGTGGGGGTGGGGGCTAGGACTGAATACACTGTAGCCACTTCAGGAAACACCTTGGTAATTGCCTCAAGAGTTGAGGATTAAGGCTGAGGCTAGAGCGCAGCGGCAGAGTGCTCACCTATTGATGCCGGAGACCCTGGGTTTCATTCTCAGCACTGCAGAAGACTGATAGAGGAAGAAGGGGAGGGAGGGAGGAAGGGAGGGAGGGAGGGAGGGAGGAAGGGAGGGGGGGAGGGAGGGAGGGACCAAATTAAGATAGAACTATCAAGATGTGTACCTAAGAGAGTTATATATATATATACAATTGTTTCCACTCCAGATGAACACCCAAGGGAATTAGACCCAAACATCTACTTACTTTTTTTCCCCACAAATGGTCACATAAGCATTAAAAGTAGTGGGAGAGGAGGAGAAATCCCAGTGTCCATCAGCTGATGATAGATAAACAAGATCTGATACATCCGTACCCATGCCGTGGAGTATTATCCAGTCTTAAAAAATAAATGCGTACTGACGCGTGCTGTGGATGAAACTTGAAAACTTGCTGAATGAAAGAAGCCAGACATGGAGGGGGGGGAGCCAGGAAGTTAAGTAAATGAACATTCCAGAATTAGAAAATCCTAAGAGAAATAATACAGATTTGTGGTTGCCAGGAACTGGGGGTGGGGGTGGGGAGAAGGGAGGGCGGGCGGGTTGTGACCACCAGATAGGAAATTTCTTTTGTGGATAATGAAAATATTCTAGAATTAAGTAATACCGACAGCTGCGCGGGGGTGGGAAGGTTCTCAGAAGACATTGACCAGAACACTTACGCAGCTGATGTCAAGGGGTGTAAACCATGCTTGAGAATGAGGTACCCCTCTCCTTGAAGGTGGGGGTGGGGTCCACAGTCTGCAAACCCACCGGCTTGCTCCACTTCCACCTCCTGCAGCTCACACCACTGAGGACACATCTGGTCTCCTTCGACACGTGAAATTCCAGTCCAGCAACTTTGAAAACATCTTGACGTGGGATGGTGGGCCAGCTAGCACCCCCGACACGGTCTACAGTGTGGAATATAAGAAGCAAGTATCTCATTCCTCCTGACGCCCTCCTGACTCTGCTCTGCAGCAAGCTCTTCCAGGACATCCCAACTCCAAATGTTGCCACACAGATAAAGCTTTGTTACAGTTCCCTCATAGTGGGAAGATACAATTAGAGTTAACAGTAGTTAATAGTGCCTGGATGTGACAGCCAGCTCCAACCATGTAGCCTTGGGCAGTCAGGGAGACTTCTCCAAGCCTAGGATTTATCATCTGTCCAGTGCAGGTAATGTCAGTATGCTCACCACAGGATCTCAAATGGAGAAAGATGATGTCACTAGCGTGTGTGCCCTCTTTCTGATAAAGTACTAGTAACTGATAGTCAAGAGGAAGTTTAGGTCCATGGAAACTTCACCCAACCCCTCCTGCCTGTGTCTAGCTCTGGTGTATTTGCAAAGCCCAGGTTCCTTCTTGGTCCTGTCACTTCAATGTGTGGCAAGTCACTCCCTATTTCTGAGCCCCAGTCACCTCCCCTGTAGACTAGAGCTCACAGGGCTTGTGAAAGGGCTGGGTAGCAAGGAACACAGAACATGGTCTTAAGCTGGCAGGGTTCTGACTAGTTTGTCATATGCCCACTTCAAAGCACTGGGCACAGTTTTCTCCTCTGAGCATAGCTTGGTCCCTTGAGAACAACACACCGTTATAAGGAGCACTATGAGAGGTGACCTCGGTGTCCACATAGACAGCCTTGGTGCCTCGTAAATGCCAGGCTCGCTTTTCAACAATAATAAACCACAGGCCTAGCAGAGCTGTTCATTCACTGGGCACCCTGCCTGCCCTCGATTACAGGTACGGAGAGCGAAGGTGGCTGTCCAAGGCAGGCTGCCAGCGGATCACCCAGAAGTTCTGCAACCTGACAATGGAGACCCGCAACCACACTGAATTCTACTACGCCAAGGTCACGGCCGTCAGCTCGGGAGGCCCACCGGTCACTAAGATGACTGATCGCTTCAGCTCCCTGCAGCACAGTAAGTGGCGGCCCTGAACATCTGAGGTGAGGGGAGAAGATGACACTTCGGGTGAAGTGGGAGTTCTCAGATCTTCTAGAGTGGTTGGGGACCCAGCAGGTCTCTGTCCCTGGGAAAGTAGGAGATGTGGCTTTCTGAGAAGGTGTCCCCAAGGCCAGAGCACACCCCAGAGGGTTGTTTCTTTTCTCTATGCTTACTCAAAACTTTCTAGATTAGAAGATGCTCCCCCCAAAGCAGGACTCCTTCCTTATTCCTCCAATGTGGTGGTACCCTCCCCATCCTCTCAGGATGTAAAGCCCACCAACCCTCCCCTTGCTGGTGAATCTTAGAGAAGATTCGCTTCTTCCCCATGGCTCAGCAACCCTGCTTAGTCCAGTCCTCAGGAGAAACACTCTGTCCTCAGGGGTCCCACTCTCTGCTGCCCCCCAGGTCTGAGGGCTTAGCTCAATTTAGATTTCAAAAAGAGTTCCTGCCTCCAGCCCTAACCACCTGATCTCAGTCAGTCAAAGCCGGCTAAGATCATTCGTTATCTTTTATCTGTATGTATTCTTTATCCCAGCGGCCCTCTGATGCAACCAAATGCAAATGAAAATTATTAGGGGGAAAATATTGCATCTGCATTGCGTCTGTCCACATATCTCTGGGCGCTACACATCTGTTTACATAGCACTTACAGAGTATGAGGCATTATCCATTAACAGTATACAAAGAACATGTTTGGGTTGGCACAGTACTGGGCCACTCTACACAAAGGACTAAGACAATGAAGGATTTGTGCTTTGGTGAGGCAATCCAAAACCAAGTCCCACAGACACTGAGAGTCCCTGTACTCTGTTGATGCTGTCACAAGAAAGAAAGACTGTGTTTGCTTATATTCTCAACCTCCCTGACAAAGACATGAACTTCAGGACAGCCTGCAAGACCCACTATGTTCCCAGCCATACATGAGCATAGCACTTGGTACACAGAAGAGGCTCCATACATGACTGCTGAATGAATGAATGAATGAATGAATGAATGAATGAATGAATAGCAGGTGACAAACCCTATACAAGCTAAGCATGTGGTGATGTTAACTGACTTATGACATCACAGTTTCCTGTGTTTTGAGACAGGCCCTTAGTCTGTAGCCCTACCTGACTTGGATATCACTTCATAGTCCAGGCTAATCTCAAAATAGTAATGCCCCAGTTTGCTTTCTGTTGCTGTGATAAACACTGACCAAAGGAGAGGGAAGGGCTTATCTAAGGCTTACACATCCAGTTCCCAATTTATCACTGTGGAACACAGGGCTCAAGGCAGAAACCATGGGAGAAAACTGTCTTCTGACTCGTTCATAGGTTTTATGAAAGGCAGTAACTTTCTTATATAGCCCAGACCTGCCTGCCTAGGGATGGAACCACCCACAGTGGGCTGGACCCTCCTGTATCAATTAGCAACCAAGAAAATGCTCCACAGATATGCCTATAGGCCAATCTGATGCTCCAGTTCAGCCTTGGCCTCCTGATCTGGTGTCACAACCTTGTTTTGGAAACGCTACTTCCATGTAGTGGTGTTGTGAACTTTGCCATACTATGAAACATTTTCCACAACCTGATTTTCCATAGCTGTGAAACAACTCATTCTATAATCAAATCCTAGTTCCCTTCCCTTTTAAAGGACATTTATTTTTACTTCCTTTCTTTTTCTTTCTTTTTTTTTTAAGATTTTACATTTATTTATTATTTGTGTATCCATGCATGCACACATGTGTGCGTGCCTCTGTGTGTGTGCACGTGTGTATCTGTGTGCTTGTGAGTGTTTAGGCCAGAGGACAACTTTCAGGAGTTTGTTCTTTCGTTCTGTCACATGGTGCCCAGGGATTGGACTCAAGTCATCAGGCTTGGTGGCAAGCACCCTTGCCCACTGAGCCATCTTGCCAGCCCTATCTCTACTTTTCAATTTTATTGGAGTAAATGTTCTTTGGTTAGATTGTTCTAAATCTTAGAGGACAACAAATGACTGTTAGACTTGTACAAATTAGATTCTGGGCAAGTGGGATTCACAAATCCCTGAAATTAGATGCACGATTTTGTATGTTTACATTGTCATGGAGTAAAGAGCCATAGCAATCACTATATTATCAAAAAAAAGTATGCAGGGGCTGAGTGGGGACCTGGCTCGGTCAGCTCTTGCTGTATAACTATGAATCTCCAGCACCCATGTAGAAAAGTAAAAATAAAAATAACCAGGCAGAGTCGTACTTGCATGTACAGGCACGGCTGTATCCGCATCACAGCTATGCAGAGATAGGAAAATCCTAGGGACTCAGGGGCCAAGCCAGGCTAGCTGAAATGAGCCTCCCATTCAGTGAGAGCTGCAAGATGCCCAACATTCTGACTGACTGGTGAGCTAGCTTAGCGATTAAGAGCACTGCTGTTCTTCCAGAGGACCCAGGTTTGATTCTGAGCACCCACATGGCAGGTCACAACCATCTGAGTTCCAGGGGACCTGAAGCACTCGTTGGCCTCCTTGGGCACCAGGCACACATATAGTGCACAGGCAGACATTAAGGCACAATACCTATGCACATAGAATAAACCCAACATCTTCCTCTGGCTTCACACACACATACACACACACACACTCACACACACACATACACACTTTTAAGGTATTGTAAAACAGTGAGGGTCGTCTGGAAAATTCCATCTTGAGAGAGCAGTCTTGGAGGCAGAAGCGATAGCATTGGGCCTGGGATAATTTAGACTCTCTCTGGACTCATGAACCATTGTCATCCCCAGAGTTCTCATTGCAGCAGACTAAAGGGACAGATGTTCCAGGCACACTCACACCGGGGAGGCCAGGAATAGGAAGCATGAGGCAAAACTAAGGGTGTCGCCTGTCAGGGCTGGTGTCTTTCCCGCCTGGGTACCTCCCATCCACCCTCTGTCACCCCTGGGCCAGCCTTGTTCGTGGACACTGGCCACTCAAAGACCTCTTCACATGTTGAATTAGTTGCTGCTCCCCAAAGCATTCTGGGCTTTTCTCTCTCCCCTTTCTAGCTACCATCAAACCACCTGATGTGACCTGTATCCCCAAAGTGAGGTCCATCCAGATGCTGGTCCACCCTACACTCACACCCGTCCTCTCAGAAGATGGCCACCAGCTAACCCTGGAGGAGATTTTCCATGACTTGTTCTACCGCTTAGAACTCCACGTCAACCACAGCTACCAGATGGTAAATATAGGTCACACCCCATCCCTCCTTGGGAATCCCATTCCCTCCCAAACATATTGGGTTGCTTTCAGCAAAAATGATACATTATCTGAAATGGCACTTCCCCAAAAACTATCTTTGTGGGGCTCCTAGGATGCTAGGAGGGTCGTGAGCCACAATCTCCCTTTCTAGGCTCACAAGTACAGCAGGCTGCTCAAGGCTCTGACAAGCCCTACAGAGTCAAGGCTTCAATTTTGTACTGTGCAAAATTTTCGTATTTATTGGACAAGATTGATTTTGTTTGATTGGTACCTTGGTTGGTGTTTGTTTGCTTGCTTGTTTGAGGCAGAGTATCACTGTCTCAAGCTGGTCTGGAACTCACTACAAACTCATAACAATCCTCCTGTCTCGGTGCTTGTATTATAGGCACATGCCACTGGCTCAGAAAGCTCTATTAGGTCTTACCTAGTATCCTTTAGCATCCCAGAGAGAAATGCATGTCTGTTAATATCCCCAGTCACTCTCTTTAGAAAGCGTTGGTGTTGTGGGCCTGTTCTCTAATAGTAGAGTCCTTGTCTAGCATGTGCGAAGCCTTGGATTTGATCCCCAAAACCATAGAAACCAAGTGGGTGCCTATAACCCAAGCTCAGAGGGGGAAGCTGGAGGATCAGGAACTCAGGACCATTCTCAGGCAGCAAATTTAACATCATCCTCTACTCCTGGAAGTGTTGGGGAAACCACTGTGTGAGGGCATGGTTTAAGACAGGTCCTGCTGGCAGACACAACAGTCAAAGGATATGCAAATGACCCCGTCTTGTACACTCCCCAGCAGGTACCATTAATCTGTGACTCAGTTGGGTTTACTTCCTCCTCTGCAGTTCTGAAAAATCTCTCAAAGAGTTTATGACCTAGTGGGTGGGGGAGGGGCTAAACCAAGAATCGGAACAGGCGAGGCTGTGGGACCACTCAGCACAGGAGACTTGTGGGAAACTCTGGAGTGTCCGATGAAGCATGCAAGGATTTTATCTCCGTCATAGTTCCGTGAGCGGGAGCTAGCGTCTCCATCTTATCTCCAAGGTGAGAATACAGAGCTCAGGGAGGTTAAGGCACTCACTGGGCCTTAACTACTGAAATGAGATCAGTGCTCTCGCTCACCCTGGTGGGCCTCCGACACTGCGCTGTGATCAGAGATAAAAGCAGGAGCATGTACAGTGTTCTTCAAAAGCTCGAAGCTGGCCACTGGGGCTGGAGCGTGAAGCCACATGAGGCAATTGTCATGCCTGTGCCTTGGGCCGGTGGCATCAGAACCTCCCAGGGTTCTGGCTCCTGGGTGCTCAGTACTAGTTTTCTTATGGCCGTGGCCAAACAAACGCCAGGCAGAAATAACTCAAGGAACGAAAGATTTCTTTTGGCTTGGAGTCTCCGAGGCGTCAGCTGGCAAGGAGGAGGGATGAGACAGAGCAGTACAGATCAGAGAATCAGGAAACATAGAAGGGGGACACAGAAAGAGGTCAGGACAAGATTCAGGCTTCAAGGACATGCTTCCCGGGACATACGGACTCCAGAAGATTGCTTCCCACCCCTCACTGCTTCCTAGTGGGCCATCAGACTACCAGTCCATCAAGGGACTGATCCATTCTTTTATGTCAGAAACCCTGGCAATCCACTTTCTCGGGGACACACCCTCACAGACACACCCAGGGACAGCCTCACTAGTCTGCTTAGGTGGTTCTCAATTCAATCAAGCTGATGAGATTGGCCCTCATCAGCCCCTCCCAGTCCACTCAGATGTTTGCGGCTGCCTGTCTGAGACCTGGATTTTAGTGACCAGCCCACAGGGGACTCCTCCCTAACCTTGAAGGTTGAGAACCTCAGGTGTGGAGGGACAACGGGACACAGTTTGAGGACCCTGTTGGGACTATGTGGTGGAGGCCGGGGGTGCAGGTGATGAAGGAATTCTAATCTATTCGGTCGTCATGGGAACAGCTAGAGACCACAACAGGAAGAGAGCCCTCACCATAAAAAAGCTCCTTCGGATAAATATTTGGGGTTGGACTAAAGGTTTTATGAGTCTTGATTTTTAATTTAATTCAGCCTGTGGTCCGAGAGCCTGCTTTATCTGAATTAGTCCTTTTAAACTCATGAAGGTTTATTTTATGGCCTGCCATCTGCTTGGCTTCTAAACAAAGCAAGTGTGTTTGGAGGAGTAGGGTATAGGTGCGGTTAGTATGTTCTACAAACACCCACTAGATACTGGAGGCTAATGGGGCTCCTCCCAGCTGTGTGTGTCCTGATATACATGATGCATGCACGTATGTGTGTGTGTGTGCACGCACACGCGTGTGCTTTTCTTTCAGCTGCTGAGAATACTGAACTCTAGCTATGCATGTGAGTTTATTTTTCCCTGTGGGTCTCCCTGTTCTCATGCATCCCCCGCTGATACAGTCCATGAGGACAGTGGAAGCACAGATGCTGAACAGGGCTCGGAAGCCCTATGAGTACACACAGTGAATGGCCACACTGGGACCACTTATCAGTAGGCAGGTCAAGTTTACCTAGGGTGACTGAAGGCTCATAAAGATTTGGGGGACATCCAGGATGTCTTTGGCTGGGGTCTTAGGGTACCTGGCCTACTTCGTTACCATGGGGAAGCATTTCAGAAATCTTAGGTGCTGGATGAACAGGTTTTGTTTGTCGGGAGAAAAGAAATTGATCCTATAAACTAATTGAGGCTACGTGACATTCCTCAGGCAGAGGCATATGTATGGGCTTGGAATTCCTGGACAAGATCAGAGAAGGAGAAATTCCGCTAACAAAGGGAGTCCTCCATTACACACAGAGCCCCAGCAGTCAATGGTAGACTGTGATGTTAATCAGCACCTAGATTCCCCCTTAGTTGTGTGTGTGCTTTTCTCTCATGCATTTGAAACCCTTTTTGTTTTGTTTTGTTTGTTTGTTTGTTTGTTTGTTTTGTTTGTTTGTTTTTCGAGACAGGGTTTCTCTGTGTAGCCCTGGCAGTCCTGGAACTCACTCTGTAGACCAGGCTGGTCTCGAACTCAGAAATCCGCCTGTCTCTGCCTCCCAAGTGCTGGGATTAGAGGTGTGTGCCACCACTGCCCGGCGCATTTGAAACCCTTATTAAACATTTGCTTTCATTATTATCATATCTTCTTATAAGTTAGCCTCTGATCATGATGAATCCCCCTTTTTGTTTCTTGTTGAAGTCCACTCAATCTGATATGAATATTGCCATTCCAGTCTCCTTATAATGTGTATAATATGTGTGTGTGTGCTTGTGTATGTATATATATGTATGTATGTGCATATATGTATATATATGTGTGTGTGTATAATATACATATATCTAAAGGTTTGTTTTATTTTATGTGTATGAGTGTTTTGACTGCATATATACCAGTGTACCACTTGCATGCTTGATGCCCCTAGAGGTCAGAAGAAGGCATCAGATTTCTCTGGAACTGTAAGATAAGACATATGGGTACTAAGAACTGAACCTGGATCCTCTGCAAGATTAGCAGGTGCTTTTAACTGCTGAGCCATCTCTCCAGGCCCCACAAGGGAAGTTGGAGACATGGGCTCTGATGTGGGTCCTGGGAATGAAACTCTTGGAGTTTTGGTTGTAAGCCTTAGCCTTTAATGCCTGAGCTAGCTATACCTTTATAGATAGCTTTTATATATATATAACCTATCTAGCCCTGGTGCCCTTTTTATAACCATTCATCTTTAACCTACGTCTTGATATCTAACACACATCTATGCAGACAGTATTCTGACAGGTTCTCTTTTAAGATTTATTTTGTGTCTGTGTGCATGTGAGCGGGCATTCATGTGTCACAGCGCGTATGCAGAGGTCAGAGGACATCCTACAGGAGTTGACTCTCTCTCATCAGAAGGTTTGAACTTAGGTCGTCAGCCTTAGAGGCAAGCACCTCTAACCACTGAGCCACCCGGCAGGCGTTTTTCATTGAGGTAACTCATATGCCATGAAAATTTGCTCTTTTCTTTCCACTTCTGTAATATGTGGAATCAGACTCAAAGCCTTGCTAGTGCTAGGCGAGCACACCACCCCTGGGCCACATGCCCAGACCTGAATCCACCCGTTTGTTCCTTTGTCTTTTTTTTTTTTCAAGATAGGGTTTTGCTATGTAGCCCTGACTGTCCTGGAACTCACTGTGTAGACCAGGCTGGCCTCAGAGATCTGCCTGCCTCTGTCTCCTGAGAGGGAGAGTAAAGGCGTGCGCCACCACCACTAAGTTCACCCGTTTAAGATGCAGGATTCGGAGATTCTCGGCACACCACGGAGTGCCCCGCCTTCCTCCTGCTTACCTCGCCTCATCCTGTCGATTTTTCTTCAAGTTTTCTGTCTTCCCTGCTTCCCAAACTGCTAAGGCCTCTCTGCATTTTAAAAAGTCAGATATTGTGCTGTTCAACTCTGATGTTTCCAGCTCCTATACTTAGCACATACACTATTGAGATTTCTTGTTTATTCAGTTTTGTCTATTTCTGTTTTTTGTACGTGTGTATGTACAAAATGTGCCTGAGTGCCAAGGCACAAGTATAGAGATTGGAGCACAGTGTTTAGGAGTTTGTTCTCTCTTCCCTCCATGTGGGTCGCTGCAGCAGCTGGTGTCCACAGGCGGCCGCAATGTGACAGGCCAGGTTCTCTGAGAGGCTTCGAAGAGCTTCAGGGCTTATTGAACTGAGGATAAGAGAAGATGGGAAAGCAGAAAGAAAGCCGCCAGAGGGCTGCCCAGTCCGGCTGGCTCATGTGGTCATGGTAGTGTCAGGGGGAGGAGAGAACAGTGGCGCGTTTGTGTGCACGTGCATGGTGTGTGTGTGTGTGTGTGTCTGTGTGTGTGTGTGCGTGCGTGCACATGTGTATATGTGTATATCTGTATGTCTATGAGTTATGTCTGTATGTCTGTGTATCTATGTCCATGTCTGTATGGGTTTTTGTCTGAGTGTGTCTGTGTGTCTGGTTTTGTCTGAGTGTGTGTCTGTCTGTGTCTGTGTGTCTGGTTTTGTCTGTCTAAGTGTGTGTCTGTGTATCTGGTTTTGTCTGAGTGTGTGCCTATGTGTCTGTGTGTCTGTTTTTGTCTGTCTGAGTGTCTGTGTCTGTTTTTGACTGTCTGAGTGTGTTTTTGTCTGAGTATCTGTCTCTGTGTGTGTATGTATGTCTCTGTATCTGTGTCTGTTTTTGTCTGTCTGAGTGAGTGTGTGTGTGTGCGTGTACGTGTGTGTCTGTGTCTGTGTGTGTGTCTGTGCAGTCATTCTGGGTTCTCTGTCCACTTCAGCACCTTGAAGGCAAACAGAGAGAATACGAGTTCCTGGGCCTGACTCCCGACACAGAGTTCCTCGGTTCCATCACAATTTTGACTCCTATATTATCCAAGGAGAGTGCCCCCTACGTGTGCCGAGTGAAGACGCTGCCCGGTGAGTTCAACTGAGGCCCTGCAGGGAGGAATCCTGGGTGCACAGCTTAACCCCACGCCTTGCTCCCTGTAACCAGGGGGATGCTTAGCAGTGCACTGAGAACTCTTGGAGATTGGTGGTGTCGTATTAAGATTGATGTTTGTTTATCCATAGCTGAGCCGTCTAATGGGTTCACTTAGAGAATGTTTAATCACCTCTCAGCCAACGCCTGGATTTTTTTTCCCCCTCTGGCCAGCGTTGTGTAAACTCTGGCAAAGCAAACATATATATTATCAACTCAAGGAGCATACACTGGGGGGTGGAGGTGTAAGGGGGTGGGGATAGAGAGATTAGAATGATTCTCAGTATCTTCAAAGCCAAGGAACCGTACGGGTGATGATGAAGGCTCGTGTTTCTGCCAGGCTGACCAGGGAGCACACTATGAACCACAACTCCCTCACAGCCTGGGAGGCGAGAACTTCGATCACCTCCATTCAACAGACTGGGGGTATGGCTCGGTGACAAAGTACAGGCAAGGCTCGGGGTTCTATCCCTAACACACAAAAGCCCCCTCTCTCCAAGGAGCAGCTGTGCTTTGGTTAGGCTTATGTTCCCAAGCAAGTAGAAAACTTGTGACGCTTCAAGCTGACAGTTAGGGCAGGACAGTGAGGTCATGGGGCAGGGATGTCTATGAGGATGGGACCCACCCAAACCATCGTGTTCAGGTGACTTCCTGGGAACTCAGTTTGAGACCTGCACAACAGTGCATGGTCCTGGGTGGAAAATGGTGCCTGTCCTCAGCGTTGTCTGGAAACTCAGCCCATCTGAGGCCACAAGACACTGGCTTCCCTGCCTGAACCCCAGGGCACTCTCTAGCAGGAGACAAGGCTGGAGGAGAGCCAGCCTTGGCCGAAAGCACAAGGCACGCCCTTCCCTCGTGAGGGACCCAGGTACCAGAATAGAACCTGGCAAGCAGGGGGCTAGGAACAGAAACCACTCTGTGGATGCTGAGCTGGGGCATGTATAATATGATGTTTGATCTTGACCCCGACCTCGTTAGATATGTGTCACCTGTCCCCAGGCAGCCCAACCCCACCCTCCTTCTGGAGGACAAGCTGGCCAGTCCTCACCTACCCTCCTGTGGGCTTGACCTTATGAGAGCTGGCCTGAACCGTCACACAGGTTTTGTTTGTGTTTGAGTCTTTCGTTGTTGTTGTTGTTGTTGTTGCTGTTGTTGTTGTTTTAAGACAGGTTCTCCCTTCATAGCCCAGGCTAGCCTCCAGCTTCTGATCCTCCTGCCTCAACCTCCTGAGGACTGAGATAACAGCCGAATACCACTTTCACCTGAGACAGCCTCTGCTTTCATCCAAAGCTTGCTTTTCTTGGGAGTTCCTTGCTAATTGTCCTAAGGATGCTTTTTTCTCCTAAAGATGGAAGTATGTTACCCACACTCCCCTCCAATAGGAACACCCCGTTGCCAACATATCGGGTGCTGTATAAGCTCTTTCCTCCCAAGCCACTTATATTACTTTAATTTTTAAAACAACCCTCCCCACCCCCCACCCCAAAAAAAATGTTGCCAGCATTATCCTCAGTTTACGTAAGAGGAAATCTGGCTCAGAGAGGTTAAGTAATTTGTCCATGGCCACACAGCTAGTCAGAAAACCCAGTTAATTTTGTCCGGTCCTGAAGCCAGACTGTAACCATCACCTTACAGCCTGGTGTACCGCTAGCCCCTTCTGCTGCAGGCTTACTATGCACTTCCATTCCAGAGTGAATCATCCTGCCCTCGACCTTAGTCTAGGCTTTGCCACTCCCCAGATCCCAGAACCCCTTGCTTTAATTTCTCAAGGATCCTGGGAGTTACAGAATATCATCCCAGCATCTTGATGGAGGAAAGGGTCTGGAAGTTGTCTCACCTCGTCTTTTTTTACAACTGAGGGAACTGAGGCATGAATGTACATTGTCTGTGGGGATATGTTCTGGGATTGTACTCATCCACCGAGGAGCTGTGTGACCTTTGACAAGTCACTGCACCTCCCTGGGCTCCAGCCTTGTTGCTTGGAAGAGGAGAACATCCTACTCCCTTTGTGTGTTCTGGTGATTTGCTGGGTGGGCCTCAGCATGCAGCAAGAGCTCAAGAACCACAGGCAACTGTCACTACAGATGCTAGACCATCATGCATAGCAGGGAGGATGCTCAGAGTTGATGTCCCTGTTCCTCATCTTCAAGTGGCCATCATCATGTCCCACCCTGACTGAAATGACATGATCCTTCTTGCTGTAGCAATGACAGGGGTACCAGTGACAGGGGGATAGCCCATTACTCCAGGCTGGCCCAGACCCCCCAAGGCCCTGCAGTCCAAGGTCAGGGTTCTGAGATCTCGGTGACCCCCCCCCATCACTGAGGCCAGCCGGAGTCACAGGGGAGTCATGAAGAGAAAGAGACAACATGGGAGGGGCAGGACCCTAGATAATGGAAACATCTGGTCCCTGGAGCTCCACTAGCCTCTGCCTCCCAAGCGTTTCCCAAGAGCCATTCAGACTGGTGACAGGATAGATCATGACAGGAACCCTCTGTGCCTGTCCCAAGGCAACAGAGGGGCACAGAGTCAGAAGTGCCAGTCCCCCACCACAGAGTCACAGTGTCAGCCTTCCTCGCTTTTCAGAGGCCTGGTACCTCTCTAGGCTCCTTCCCCCAACACTGAACTCCTTACCTTATGCAGACAGAGGGCACAGGCTCTCCTCAGTCTACCCTCTGACCCCTGTTGGGGGGAAAGATGGCCCTCAGACCCCAGCTGCAGGGGACCCAAGCCTGCTCGCCACCCTCCTTCCCGAAGCTCTTTCTCTGGCTACATGATGCAAAAGCCCCTAGCAACAGCGAGCGACAGAGCTGTCTGAGCAGTGGTTCTCAACCTTCCTAACACTGCAGGCCTTTAGCATGGTTGCTCCTGTTGTGGTGACCCACAACCGTAAAGGTTATCTCACTGATACTTCATAATTATAATTTTGCTACTGTTATGATCATAATGTGATCTGAGGTGACCCCTGTGAAATGGTTGTTGGACCTCTAAAGGGGTCACCACCCACAGGTTGAAAAACACTGTTGTAGATCCTTCTAGACCACACTCTGAATAGCAGGAACTTAGAGGAAGACCCCATGTCTATGACAGAGCCTGTTCCCTGACCTGGCTTACCTCCTGCTGAAGGCAGATACTGGCTAATATGTAGGTTCTGAGCCCAAAGGGTGACTAGAAAGTACCTAGATGTGGAGTCAGAAGGAGCTAGCCATGTGGGCTGGGACATGCATGGCCAGCTGAGGCCCCTGGCTATGAGCGTTGAAGCCACTCTGAGGACCTCCAAGAGGCCTTCGATCTATCTCAGTGTTGGCAGAGTCTCATGCAGTCAGGAATAGCCTTGACCTCACCCCATACTGGAGGATTGCCTTGAGCTTCTGGTCCTCCTGTCTCTGTCTCCCAGGTGCTGAGACTACAAGCCTGAACCCTGTTTGCAAGGTGCCTTATGGAGGCCAGGCCTTTGTGAGCACCGGGCAAGCACTCCACCAGCTGAGCTACATCCTTAACAATGCATTTTGTGTTTTGAGATGGTGAAAAACTCATCCTGACCCGTGCAGGTCACATCAGTTTTGCTCGGGACAGGGCCCAGAGGCCTCCAAGCCTCACACAGCCTTCGTCTGTCCTCTTTTGCAGATCGGACGTGGGCCTACTCCTTCTCGGGTGCTGTCCTCTTCTCCATGGGTTTCCTCGTTGGCTTGCTCTGTTATCTGGGCTACAAATACATCACCAAGCCACCTGCACCTCCTAACTCCCTGGTGAGTCACCCACCTGAGGCAAGAGAGGCGCATCTCGGAGAGAGACCCTCCAAGTCCCAGAAGACAGGGGAGCCCCTGAGCAGTGCAAAGATATACCACACAGCAGATTGGGGTGACCAAGGTGGTCTGGCAGGTCCCATGGTGTGGAAGAAAGACATGTGATGGGGCAGTGGTATTGAACAGGGATGCCATGAGAACATCAGAGCCAGGTGGGGATGCAGGTCTTGGGAAGCATCGAGGGCTGAGCCCTGGGACTCCATGGGGCTGCAGAGTGCCTCACTATTTATTTAGAAAGCCAGCACTTACTGCGTGGGCACAGCTGTGTAATCCCAGGACTAGAGAGGCAGATACAGAAGAGTCTCAAGATCCAGGCAAGCCTGAGATACATAGGGAGATTTTTGTCTTACAAAGCTCCCCACCCCCACCCCCAACACCAACAAAAACAGAAAGCAAGAAGAAGAGAAGGAAGAGGAAGAGGAGGAAGAAGAAGAGGAGGAGGAGGAAGAGGAGGAAGAGGAGGAAGTAAACAAAAAACACAGGCATAGTGGTTATTTCCAGCACTCAGAAGGTGGAGGCTACATTGTGAGAGCCTGTCTCACAAACTATAACAAGGGCTGGCAGTGCAGCTCAGTGGGTAGAGTGATTCCCGAGCATGCACAAAGCCTTGGGTTTGACAAGCCCCAGCACTGTGATGCCAGTACTGTGATCCCAGTCATAGAGGAAGATGTAGGTAGGAGAATCAGGAACTCAAGGTCATCCTTGGCTATATATCCAGTTCATAGCTAGCCTGGACCACACACACACACACACACACACACACACACACACACACACACAAACTAAACAACAAAAAATAGCCAGGCATGGCAGCACACACCTTTGAACTCAAGAGGCAGAGGCAGGAGGATCCCTGCAAGTTTAAGACCAGCCAGGTCTACATAGCAAGTTCCAGGACAGCTGGGGCTACATAGTGAGACCCTGTCTCAAAACAAAAACAAAATTTAAAACCAAACAAAACTCCCCTATGCATGGTCACCCACTGCCTGTTTGTTTGTTTGTTTGTTTTTCATGAGAATCCAGGCTTTCGACAGTAATGTGAAACCTCAAATGTTCAGATAACTGACACCTAGTTTTAGCACTAAGCCCTTAGAGAGTCAACATCAGTGGGCCCCACACAGCCGTGGGCCCGGCCTCTGCCCCAGCAGCAAGATCCCCTTCAGAGCCTCAGGCTGAGCAGCTTGGCTCTGGAGACAACTCTCTCCATCTGAAGGGTTGAGGGCTTTACCCATAGTACCGCAGTCCTGGCTACCATGGTCTCCCAACCTCTTCTGGCCTTCCCTATATCCCTATCCTTTCCAACCTCGGTCCCTCAGAGCAGAACAAGCCACAACCTTGAGGCAGCCCAGAATCTGAGCCCTCTACTCCCTTCCTGTCAATCACCTGAACAATCACCTGAACACGACCCTAAGTCGCTGTGCTCAGTGTAACCTGGGCCTCAGATGTCTCAATGTCCATTACTTGTTTGATGTGGTTTTTAAAAACCTGGTCTCACTATGTAGCCCATGCTGACCCCAAACCAAGATCCTTCTGCATCAGGTGCCTCAGAGGCTGGGTTCATTTGGAGGGGAGTCTGTGGACAAGGGTGGGTAGGTTATGTACATCTTGAATGGAGCCCCAGTTCCTCAACAACCTTCTCAGAAGGCCTTGCCTGTCCATATCAAAAAACAAAAACAAAACAACAACAATAAACAAACAGAAAACCACTGTGGGGCTGGAGAAAGGGCTTAGTGGGTAAAGCACTTGCCACACAAGCGTAAGGAGCAGAGTTAGGATCCCTGATCCCACAGAAAAGGTAGGAGGGTGTGGCACCACATCCAGAATCCCAGTGCCCTAAAGACAGAGATGGAAGAATCCCAGTGCCCTAAAGACAGAGATGGAGGATTCTCGGGTCAAGGTGGCTAGTTACACCAACCAAACTGGTGAGCTCTGCACTCATGATCAACACCCTGTCTTATTATATAAGATGGAGAATGGCCGAAGATGCTGGGTCTCTGGGTTCCACACATATGTGCTTGCACATACATTCAAGCACACATGGCTATGAGTACTTATACATCATGCACCAGAGCACGAAAGAAAGAAAGAAAGAAAGAAAGAAAGAAAGAAAGAAAGAAAGAAAGAGAGAGAGAGAGAGAGAAAGGAGGAAAACAAAATGTGTCCTAAATGGTGGATTCTTGTCTCTCCACAGAATGTCCAACGTGTCCTGACCTTTCAGCCTCTGCGCTTCATCCAGGAACATGTGCTGATCCCTGTCTTGGACCTCAGTGGCCCCAGTAGTCTGCCTCAGCCTATCCAGTACTCCCAAGTGGTAGTGTCTGGGCCCAGGGAGCCACCTGGAACTGTGCGGCGGCGCAGCCTGTCTGACCTCACCTATGTAGGGCAGTCAGATGTCTCCATCCTTCAGCCTACCAACGTGCCAGCTCAGCAGACACTGTCCCCACCATCCTACACTCCGAAGGCTATCCCTGAGGTCCAGCCCCCCTCCTATGCACCTCAGGCAGCCTCAGATACCCAAGTGCTGCTCTATTCTCCACAGCAGGGGATGAAGACAGGGCCTGCCACCTATAACCCGCAAGACATTCTGGACAGCTGGCCCACGTCCTATGCTGTGTGTGTGGAAGACTCTGGCAAAGACTCCACCCGGGGGAGCCTCTCCAGTCCCAAACACCTCAAGCCAAAAGGTCAACTCCAGGAAGATACGCTTGTGAGAAACTGTCTCCCAGGGGACCTTTCTCTGCGGGAAGTCACCTCCTTGAGAGCTGAGGCGGTACAGAGACCAAAATCACTTCCCCCACCCCTGGGTTTTTACACAGACAGAGGCCCTGACCTTCACACACTGCACAGTGAGGAACCAGAGACACCACGGTACCTGAAGGGGATGCTGTCCCTCCTGTCCTCTGTGCAAATCGAGGGCCACCCTGTCTCCCTCCCTTTGCACACCCATTCCCTCTCATGTTCCCCCTCAGAGGAAGGACCAAGTCCCTGGGGCCTGCTGGACTCCCTTGTGTGTCCAAAGGATGAGGGTCTAGAGGCTGAGGCTGAAGCCACGCACCACATTGCTGCACCCCCTGAGCTGGAGCAGCCCACAGAACTGGACTCTCTTTTCAAAGGCTTAGCCCTAACTGTGCAATGGGAATCCTGAAGGGAGATCAGCACAAGCAGGCCTAGGTTTCCTTCTGCCCCACCCAGCTAAAAACCCCAGACCCACTAAGCCACAGGTTCTAAGGCCCAGCCCCGGGTGGGTACCCTCGAGAGAATGAGAGGAAGGTTTGGGGCCCACGTGGGAATACAAATGTATGGTAAAGACTCTAGTGGAAAAGCTACAGGCAGGCATCATGTGCAAATGGCCTGTGCCACAGAGCCCAGCAGGCAGGACAGACAGTGCGGTACTGCAGGGAAGTCTGGAGAGCCACCCAGCTCCCTCATCTAGTTTAACCAAGAGTGAGGCGTCCACCTTCTCTGAAAGGACTGGAAGCCAGGGAATCAAGTGTAACAGGCGCTTCAGCCGAGGCCACACAGCTGCAAGACTTGAGGGCAGAGTGTGGTAGAGGCTCACTTCCAGTCAGGGAACCCTTCTTTGCTCTGGTGTGGGTGGCGTCACCCAGGAGTGACTCCTCAATCCATCAGGGGGTGGGTGGTGTCACATAAAACTTTTCTCCAGGCAGGTGTCCAGAGAAAAGCCTTAGAAAGGAACATGGCGCCTTGAAACCCAAAGGCTTTGGAATCTCAGCCTGTCTGGGCTCACGTTCCAGCCTTTCCACCTGTCATCTACAGGACATCAAGCAAGTGAATGAGCTCAGACCTCAGCCTCCCCATCAACAAAATGGGTATCATCACATTTACCATCTGAGATGGTGCCAAGGGTGGCATTCATGTCTGGGAATTGCTCTGTGGCTTCCAGCACATGGGTGGGGTCCACTACTTGGCTGTTATCTCCTGCTGGGATTTTTTTTTTTTTAAATCTGGAAACACAAGGAGGGCCTCCTTCTGTTCACATGGGTTCATGGGCATTTTCTCATGGATTAGAGACTGTTGCAGGCAAGAACTGGACTATCTAGGGCAGACAAGGGGAGTCTCTACAAAGCCTTCTGGAAACCAGCCCAGAGAAGTAATGAATGGCACAGAGCCTTCTCTTTGAGGTTGCAGGGAGAAGCTGTTTGGGCAGAGGCTATCTCACAGGGCCTTCTTTGCGTGGAGGGAGCCCCAGGCCTCTGTGCCCCAAGACACATCATTGCTCTGCACCACCCTGGCCCTCTGGTCCATGCCTGCACACAGCAAGAAGAAGCCTTTACTCTCTGCTGTCAGGAAGCTGTGTCTGTCATATCACTTTCAGACTGGACTTACCAGGAGGAACCCAAGGCCCAGGCCAATGGAAGGCCCTGCTGGGGAGTCTACACGAAAACACAAGGCCTTTTGTGCCAAGGGTGGATGCTTCCCACCCTGTTTGAATTTTGAGCGGTTGAAATTGGCAGAACTCAAAGTAGGGGGGGGGTGGCTAAGGAGTTCCTGGGAGATAGGTGCCTTCCCCATCACCTTCTTGCCCTAGATTTCTGAGAGGTTAACACCAGACTCTAATTGCATCATCTCGGTCCTCCAGAGGTACACTGTGTCCTTCCGCCATGTTCACCTGTGTTTCCCCTTCTTTTCCCCACCGGATCCCCTTAATGATACGTGGTGACAGGTGGGCCTCTTATCTATATGTCATTAATATTTAACCTCCCTCCAAGGTCACTGACTCAGTATCTCAGGCCAAAGGTTAACTTTTTTTACTTTGTTTACAACTGAATGGCTGGCCTGTTCTCGCCTGGTCAGTACAACCAGGGTTACAGAGCAATTTTATGGAAGGCCATAAACTGGATGTCAGCTCCCAGGGCTATATGTGTGACAACCATAACAGAAATGAAAGAGAAGCTGGAGTGACTGAGGAGGAGCCCTGCAGCCTCCTTCTGAGGGCTTCTCTTAGATCAATCACCACACACACTTCTCCTCTGGCATCCCAGGCCCACAGCTGGGCTGGATCCTGCTTGCTACAAGACAGGCTGTCAAAGTCCCACCAGGGCTAGGTGGTAAGCTCTACTTTTCTGAGAGCCCTACACTCTGACCCAGTAGCCTAGAAAGTCTCCAGTCCTGCCTGCTGTGCCCTGTCCTACCCAGGAGTCTCCAAGTCACCTGCCTAACAAGGAAAGACAGAGCCAGGGGTAAAAGAAAAGTGACCTCAGCATCCCCCCAACCTTATCCTCCAGGGAACGTTCCAAGACCCTGGACCTCTGTGAGCAGACAAGGAGAGCTGTGAATACAGCCCAACATAAATGGTAAACTCACCTAAAACGGCATGGCTTGTGGTTTTTGTTTGGTTTGTTTTCGGTGATGCAGTTGTCTGGTTTTCCAAGTGTGAAGATGACAGTGTCTGGTCCAGACGATACTTTGAAGCCACAGACACTACTGATCCTGCAGACGCTCTGCTCTGTGATTAAAGCTTAATTTGTAAACCAGGCAGGAAGGGACAGACAAGCACATAGTAGAAAGGCAATGTAGGAAGTGCAGGAAAGTTACTTGAACACAAATACTTAAGTACCCAAAACCAGTCTGACTGCATGGTGTGGTGTGTAGCAGAGAGTGGATACAGTGGACCACAGGAGGAGGTACATCTGCGGCTGGATGAAACAGGACAGCAGCATGATGAGAGGGGCGGTGGGGGAGGGAGGGAGGGAAAGAGGGAGGGAGGAAGGGTGCCCTGTTTCCTTTGGACCCTCACTGTGTTGAGAGTCAGGCTATGAGGCCCCTGCTACTTCCACCCATTTTTCCTTTGAATATAAGGAGGAAGGAGACCAGGATGCTTCCCCTGCATAAAGGAGGACAACAGCTGGAATGAACCAGAGTGAGAGCTACAGCGCACAGGAAGAGACTGGAGTAGACCCAGAATCTCAGAGGACTTGCAGGAAGGAGACATCTAGGTAGGCAAGTCTCCATAGCAACCCGAAGTTGGTGCCATCAGCCATGGACAGCTCTTTGGGAAAAATCAGCTGTGGACTGAGTTGTTGATAGAGGTGGCCCTTGGTTTGGTAATAAGTCCAAGAAAATAAAAGACAAACAAAGGAAGAAGGAAAGAGGAGAGAGATGGAAATAGAATTTAGATGCTGAGCCAAGCATTCCCTGCATTTGATCACAATTTAGTCTCACAACCATTCAGCCAGACAAGTGGCCGTGGTGTGCATGCGTGTGCATGCGTGTGCGTGCATGCGTGCGTGCGTGCATGTGTGTGTGTGTGTGTGTGTGTGTGTGTGTAAAATGAGAATTCTTGTTTCTTTTAGAAACCCAGCTATATTATGTGAATGTGTTTGTGCCTGGGTCCGTGTGTGTGTGTGTGTGTGTGTGTGTGTGTGTAAAATGAGAATTCTGGTTTCTTTTAGAAACCCAGCTATATTATGTGAATGTGTTTTTACTTTAATCCCAGGCATGGCATAAGAGACCACTTCACAGCAGGTGACTATGATCTGCCTCATGCTCTAGCAAGGACGTGGTTTTGCCAGCTGCAGATCTTTTCTGTGAGTGTGTGATGTTTGGAATTCTGGGAACTTTTCAAGAGGGTATAAATGCCAGAGCCCCCAGAGGGGCTGAGCTCACTTCAAGGAGGCTGTTACTGCCACTGCAGCTGGTTCCTGTTGTGGTTTGTCAAGTGATTGTGAGCAAAGTGAAGAGAAGAAGAAATTGTAGATATCCTTACAACGACTAAGACTTACCCCCAAGGAACACGATGTCTCTAATCAGTAGGAAGTAATCAAAAGAGATCTACTCTTCCTTTCCCCTCTATCCTCCTTTCTCTTCTACCTAGTGTTGGGAGGTTGGAAGAGATTAGGGTGGAATACGGGTGGTAGATATAAGGACCCAATAAAGTATCACAAAAAGTGGACTCTCCTGGGACCCTATCTTTCAGAGGATCCAGTTGGAGACAAGGTCTCAGTGTGTAGCCTAGGCTGGGTCTGGATGCCTGGATCCATCCACCTCAGCCTCCTGGATGCTGAGATTACAGGTGTGTAGCACCATGCCCTACCTGAAGACTGTAAGTCATTACCGTCCCCTGAGCATAGATAAAGCTGAACGAGGTGACTTGCTTATGTTATAAAGCCAGGGACTGAACGAGATCCTGAACAGAATCTGAGGTGCCCCCAACTCTGGCATGTGCCCAAGTTCATCCCTTCAGTCTGCCTCAGAGGGAGGGACAACGAGGGCCTATTTAAGGGACTCTGTTTTGCTGAACAGAGGCATATCACACTGAGTCATCACAGCAGTATCTGAGTTCAGAGAAACTCGTTCTTGACAGGGATAACAGGAAATGGGGAGGGCAGGGATATACGCTTGAAACCACGGTGGTCACAACTGGAGCAGGTAGATTGTCAGCTGCAAGCTAGCCTGGGCTACATAACAAAACCTTGTCTCAAAATAACAACCCCAAAAAGTATGATTGAGGGCTGGAGAGATGGTTCAGTGTTAGAACACTGGCTGCTCTTCCAGAGGACCCAGGATTGATTCCCAGCCTCTCATCTAGTGAGGTGCCCCCCCTCCTGCTCCTACCCCACCTCTAGCCTTCCCCACCACAGTCCCTGCCTCCAGGAACTGCCTGGTTTGAGGAAAGTGGACACGTGTTCCCAACTTTAGAAGTTTGTTTGCAACTGTCCTTTCAGTTGCAGGGTACCCTGGGGAAGTTTTCAGCTTCTCTGATCTGAATTCCTTCCTGAGAGAGACAGCGTGTCAGGGTATCTCACTCACAACCATTTGTAGCTCCAGCTCCAGGGGATCTGATGCCCTCTTCTGGCCTCTGCAGTCACTAGGCATGCATGAGAGAGAGAGAGAGAGAGAGAGAGAGAGAGAGAGAGAG